AAAAACACTTTGTCCCCCTATTGGGCCGGCCATGCTCCAAAATTTAGCAAAAGACCCTATTGTGCCCCTATGTTGCAGCCTTATTTTTGCTATAAGCCTATAGATTCAATGTTTTAATCTTATTTATAATAATAATAATAATAATAACAACAACAACAACAACAACAATAATAATAATAATGCCAACATATAATGCTAAAAAATGCCATACAGTACCAAAATATGTACATTATAATGATGCAATGATATAGCTTTGGTGATAAGAACACCGAAATCATAATTTATTATAACTTCAATATGTTAGTCTTATTTAAGTATCATTCTTCTTTTTAATTAGTACCCCATAATAACATTTTGGGTAATTTTTAGTATTGCAATTTAACTTTAGAAATTCTAAAATTAAACGTTGTCGTTAGATAATCTAAACACTAAAATTGTTGTTAAAAAACTTTAATATAAGAATATGATTATTTCATTGATACATTTGGGTATAAATATATAGAGGTGATACAATCAAGGAGCTCAAGTGATACGAACGAGGAACCCCACAATAAATACAATATACAAAGAATATATGTGTATGCTAACCCCAGCCGCTGTTTGTCGTCGCAGGTCGTCCCAGCGCCACCTGTATTGCCGTCGCTGTCCGTCGACTACAAATTCTCCCGCAACCATTTTGTTCTTCGGCGGCTACCACGATGCGTCCAAACAACGGCCGGCCTTCTGCTCTGTCTACCAGCGTCAATTTTTCAACCGATTGAAAGATTTACTAGTTAAACATCAATTTAAATTTCTACCAATAATTTTAATATGATATTTTCGTAATTGAGTTTTGCTAATTTCGATCAAGGATTTCAATTTCTACTTGAGCCGCAGCGCAGTAGTTTTGCCCAGCCGCAATAGGATTTTGATCTGATGTTGAAAAATGTATCTATCATGAATCATGATTAAATAGAAATTACCCTAAACAGGACTAAAACATAGAGAAAAGTACCAAAATAGGATTTTCATGTTTTTTTTCTCGAAATAGGACTTTGCATTGTGGTAATGTGACAGTGTACATGTGCACATTACCATTTAGTCCTACTTTGGTCTTTCTCCCATGATTAAACCCCAACTTGACAAGATTATCAAAGTTGCTTGTTCATACTGTATAATGGTACTGAGTTTCTGAATCACTCGTTACATTAGTTTTATCAGGAAATTAGTGTATGCGTTCAAATTTATTGTGTATGTAACACCAACAGAATGGAGGAGTTAAACACAAACATGTCATACTCTTAACGTTGTTGTTTGTTCGTTCATGCTACAAGGCTCGCTTCCAATGGAGTTTTGTGAAGATTCTATCAAAATTGCAATCTTATTAATAGCCGCAAAAGTTTTTTTGGTGGTAAGTCTCCTATAGAACTACTCAACTCAAAATTTCCGGAACCGAGTCAGTTTTGCATCTTTGGTTTGTCTTATGTTCGTAACACTTAACGTCTACTAAATCAATACTACCATAGTAATAACGGTGGGGTTCCGTGGCCACTGGATTCGGTGGCTGCTGTCGTTGCCATTGGCTTTTTGGAGCACCTCTGGTGCTCTGTTCGTAAAATTGATAATTCATACATCTCTTACTCCTACACCTAAACCTCCACCTCAATCCATTTCATGCACCCCTCCAAATGTGTGGCTGTTATGCATTGCATAATGACCGCACATTTGTAGGGGCAAGGAATATGCTAGAGTGGGAGTGTGGGGATAAAAATCATCAATTTTGCGAAGGGAGCAGCGGAGGTGCTACAAAAAGTTGGTGACAGCACGTGGTCACCGAAGTCAATAGCTACTGGACCGACCTGGGAGTACGTATTTGTTAGAGTAGAGAGTTAAGACTTAAGACGAATAATGTATGTATCATTTTTGTATGTAGTTGTAATCGAGTCAATAATATTAAAAAAAAAAATTAAGATGAAAATATATCATAGCCGAAAATATAGAAAGTTAACTACTGCACCAATAGTAGCCTAACATAACATCTTGGCCCCTAAAAAAAACATAACATCTTGGATATCTAATGTAAATAAAGCAAGCGTTTGCATTATTATATACGGAGTAATTATTATACCAACTAATTAAACTATGGAAGAGAGTTTAGTTCTTCTGAGACGTTAATGGCGGAGGAGGGTTGCCAGGCGAGGGTCTGAATGGGAATGGAGGGAGAGGAATTGGGAAGAACGGGGGCGGCAGTGGAGGAGGCGGCGGCGGAGTGCTGACGCCGGGAATTGGAATTGGCGGGAACAGCGGAGGGAATATTGAAGAAGGCGGAGGCGTAGGAGGCGGCGGGAATAGCGGTGGGAATGTCGAAGGCGGCTGCGAAGGGGGCTGGGGGAAAAGCGGCGGGAATATTGAAGGGGGCGGGGACGGAACGAGCGGAGGGAAGATGGAAGGCGGCGGAGAGGGGATGATCGGAGGAATTAAGGACGGCGGCGGCACGAAAGGGTTGGGCGGGAGCAGGGTCGGCGGCGGGAGTAATGGGTTGGGCGGCAAAAACGGCGGGAAGATGCCAATTTGTTCCACTTCTTCCTTTGACCTGCAAACTCCCGGCTGGGATAGAGGCCGGAAAGTGAAAGCGCCGGCCGAGAAAACCACGCGGCGGCTTCCCGCACCCTCTTTCGTTTCCTTAACGAGGTGAATAGCAGAAGACGTGGCGGCGGCGGCAGAGGCGGCGCAGCTGGATTCGCCGCTATTTATCAGCCGAACAGAGCATCCCCTGATTCTCTTGATTCCCTTTGCAACTGAGAAAGGGAGTGGCACCGTGAATTCTCCGCCGTCATTTGTCTTCACCTCCCGGCGAAAACTTGGCCGCCGCCCCTTCCCCCGCGCTCCGCATTCAACCGCCACAGATGCTCCTGATAACCATAGTTAGAAACATCAGCGTTCGAACATCCATGGTAACACGAACAGTATTTTAAAAATAAATATTCCATAAATTAATAAGTATTAATTTCTACAATTAAAAATATTTTATAGTACTTCGTAATTAATGGATCCCTTCATCCTTTTGAATATTCCCAATTAAACAATTTAGACCTCAATTTTTTAAAACTTTGACTACAAATTAAGTAAAAAATATACTCTGTATTAAATTGTGATATAAATTTAATACTCTCTCCGTTCTCAAAAACTCTTCATCTTTAATTTTTTTTACTTTCAACAAAACACTTCCACTTTCTATTAAAAAATCATTTTTACCCTTATTTTTTCATACCCTACCTATCATATCATACTTTATCTCTAATAATCTATCCATCACATCTTACTTTTACCTATCACATCAAGGACAAAATTGGAAGTCAACTACAATTTAACACTTTCTTATTTTTACACAAAGTCAAAAGAGGAACCTTTTTTAAAAACGGAGGGAGTATGAATAAGTTTATGTTGAAAGAGAGTTTTGAAATATTACATTTTAATTTTATAATGAAATATTTGCGCTAAATAACACTAAAACTTAAGTCATTTCCCTAAATAACACCTAAAATGTATTATTCTCAAAATAACATTTAATAATGTCCAGAAGGTGGAATAATATCCAGCAATGACGATCATTTAACCAATAGATAATGACTAAAAGTGCTATATTGGAAAAAAATATATTTAGAGAAAATGTCATTATATTTTAGTGCTATATAAGTAAATTCCCCTTTTATAATACTCCGTATGTATTTATCTATAAATAAAACCTGAAATGAAGTGGCCAGATTTAGAAAAATGTTCTTGATGATGGGTACAAGTATCATCACAGTAGACTGTGCCCACAACAACTGCGGCATGATGATGATGATGATGAAGCCTGCTTCTCTCTTCTGATGATGATGATGAGGCCTTAGTTCTCCATATTATTGATGAGCATAATACGAAGAACAAAACCCAGACACGAAGTCCTTTAGAAATCACCATTTTAGATATATATTATTATAAACACATATCTTGTGGATGAATATGTGTATATATATAGGTGGAAGGTTCTTTATTTTTTATCAGAGGGAATTTGTTTGTAATGGCAGGTAGGGAACGAGAATCTTGTCGTGCTTGCCCCTGCTTGGGTCCCACTTGGTTCACGAGATGCATTTTTTCCGGCCCCTCATGTCAATGAGAGTATTCAAGTTATGCTAGTGATCATCCACAACAACATTCAATTCTTAATTGAATTTGTTCTTTAATTTTTTTTGGTACATCTGTTCTTTACTACTATAATATCAAAACATGGAAATATCAATGTCGATCAATTTTAAAAAATGTGTAATAATATTGCATGCTAGTCTCGAGTAAATCTCGTTTAAACATGAGAAAGAGTCTTAGAACATCCGGAATTAAATAGTTTGTGAATTTTCCACTGCAAGTGTGTGTGGGAAATAAAATATCAAATTCGATACAAATACCTATATTACTCTGTTCGTTCCAAAATAATTGTTTCGCTACTTTACCTTCCTATTAAAGTAGATACGGAGTAATATACAGTCCATAATTTTTTTATCTAGTCAAATTTCAACATCTTATTTTTTTTCTTTTCAATACTTTTTTCAAACTCTATAAAATAATACTGAAACAATTAATTTTGTATAGCCTATTTAATTTAGGTCACTTTCATGGCCCGATATAAACATGTTGAGATGTTCGGCCCAAATTTTGGGGGCGGGCTTAGTCCGCCCAAATATTTATACAAAAAATTAAGCAGTTTGTGCAATTGGTGTTAGTGTGTACACCCCTAAATGAGGAGACAGATTGATACTCCCATATCTGTGTTGAAAGTGACGGTTTTGTCCCTGCGGGCAACTCTTTTTCCTGATCACGGGCTATAGTTTGTGAAAAGGACAATGACATTATTGTTGGGCTATATATGTAAATACAAGTAATAATTTGGAGTAAAGACATCTGATCTACTTTAATTTGGAGAAAAGGGACAATATATAAATGTTAGGAAGACGAGTAGCCAGTGTTTATATAAAGGAAATTGAACAAGATACATTATCTTATTGTACAATAATATAAGCATATAAGAAAATTGAACACACACACAAATTAAATACAGTAGCTAGAGTAGTTCTCTAATATAATATAGTCCAGGACGCCGGCCAATCAATCAAGATTGATGAAGGGATCGGAGTGCTTATTGCAGATTGATAATTGATGAGGTCCTCATGCTTTTTCACACATGATATGATTATGATATGATGCATGGCATGCACATTTATGGTGTGTATGTGTATATATATAACATATATATATATATATATATATATATATATATATGCATCCCTTAATTGTGAGAATGATGAATGAACCTTAGCTTGTTCTTCTTCTTCGTCATCAATTCTGATCAAATTCTGTGATCATATATATGCATGTCAAAGCATCCATCCGGGGAGCACAGCGTTGACATTTTGTGCGTTACTTGCTGCTGTTATTTGGGTGGATGTAGCAGCAGCTACCGGATTGAACCTGCATAGAAACATAATAAGTTTTTCGTATGAAGCAAAATTTACGGGTATTATGCTTATTTGCTTATGGCTGATAAACAGTTTTTAACTTATAAGCCCTTTATAAGCTAAGGGGGCGTTTGGTTCGGGGGTAAGGAAATGGGGAAACGGAATGAGATTCCCCCATTCCCTTTGTTGTGGTTTGTTTTTAAAAAAATTTCATCCCCTTTCCCTATTTTTAAGTTTTGGATTCCCCGTTTTAGGCTTTTCCCATTCCCCCGCTTATACCCGAGTTTCCTCTCATTCCTTACCTTTCCTTACCTGCGATTCCCCCCACCCCCGTTTCTTCTTCGTCATGCTCCGCTTCTTCTTCCCCAGTCGCCGCCACTCACGCCTGGAGCTGCAACTCCATCCGCCGCCGCAGGTAAGTTCTCCC